TATATATATATATATATATATATATATAAATGTAAAAAATTCAGACATTACTAAAATATATCTAAGAATGCTCAGAAATATATTTCAGGTTAAGTAAAAGTCAAGGTAAATTATGGAAGATGCTACATGATATAATTTAATGTCTAATAAACAAAAGCAAGTAAATGTTTTTCATTGTTGTTGAATTTTTATTTTTTATAATGTAATTCTTACCTATTTTAGTTTGCAATTAATTTATATTTTAAATAATAAAATGTTCAGAATTTAAACATTTTCTTTTATTTAAAAAAACAAATTCTAATCATGTATTGTGACTTGGGAAAGGAGTATTTCTTTTAAGAAAGATATTTCCTTTTGTCTTTATTCATCCATCCACACTGATGATATGTGATACAGTGAAACACGCTTATATGTGGATGACTATTTATGCTCTTGTTACCCGATTGAGCACTATAGAGAAAGGGTAATTTTAAAAACAGTGGCTGCTGCTGCTATTAACACATCATTCTTCAATTATGAATTGGGTGCACTTGGCTACTGGTGTTTGAATACATCTCATACATAATATGTAATAATTTCCCTTTCACTGCATCGATACTTTAGGGGTAGGATTTCTGGCTGATGCCAAATTGGTCAGTTTTCGATCCTGGCTTGAAGCAATCAGACATCTAGCCACACTGATAAGCTGTGATACAGCAAAACAGTCTTCTATGTGGATGACTATATATATATATATATATATATATATATATATATATATATATATAATAGTGAACATTGAAGTCAACACTCAAGTAACAGGCTGTTTCATGCTACATGAAACAGCCTGTCGCCTCTGAATGTTGACTTCAATGTTCACTTTTTTATATTTATATTTATATACTCTCTATCTTTGATAGCAAGCACTTTATCCCATAGATATAGCACATCTTAAAAATATATTTCTTCATATATATATATATATATGTGTGTGTGTGTGTGTGTGTGTGTGTATGTGGCTTGTATGTGCATGTGTGTGCGTGTGTGCATGTATTCAGTTGTATGGATATTAGTTTGTAACCCTGAGTTTCATGCTTTTGCAATCATCAGACAAAGTATGAATGAATATGTTAGCTCTATCACAGATATTGAGTACTTTCAACTAAGTACTGCACATAAAAAATTATATATATATATATATATATATATTAATAGATATACATATTATCCTTAACTGCTAGTACAACTCTGAGTTTCATACATGACGCATGACACAAGAGGTGAGGGATAATAATATATATATTTATTAATATATACTTAATAGCTCGGTTGTATTACATCAAGCACTGTTTTATTAACACCAGCACTATATGTGTGATATATTATAATTATATATATATATATATATATATATATATATATATATATATATATATATATATATAGTAATTTCTGGCCCTGATATTCATTTTGTCACAAAACTCTTGACAGATAAGTCACTTGAACTTTTCTTTTGCCATTTTATATTTTTCATTTCACACGTGTGTTGTTCATTTTTGATTTTGTCGACTTCACGGTATAGTAGGTAGAAAAAGACCCCCATGATGCAATTCCCTCCATCTGGCTGCTGGTTATAAGAACTGAGCTGCTTGACCCTTATAAATTGAAAATGATGTGAGAATCCAATATATATATATGCCTCACTTGAAACCTAATACTATCCTCAAATATGTGAATACTAAATCAAATCACCCAGTATTATTAAGCATTATTCTGCATTCAACCCAGATGGGTTGAATGCAGAATCTCTAGAAATTCATCAACTAAGGAGATTTTTTTTATTGTAAAACAATAATATGTGAAAGGGCTTTGAAAGAAGAATGGCATAATACCAACTTGGCTTTCTCACCACACACCCGGCCTAAACGTAGTACCAGGAGCAGGGATGTAATATGGTTCAACTTTCCTTTTAATCTGCAGTTAAAAATTAAAATTGTTAAAGTATTTTTAAGCTTTTGGATAAACATTTTCCAAGGAACTCTCCATTTAAGAAGGTGCTCAACAGAAACACATGTGAAACTGAGTTACAGTTGAACTGGTAACATGTTGAATATAGTAAAGAACCATAATTTGGAAATTTTAGAGGCGGAAAGAAGTGGAAGGGAAAAAGCAAAGCCATGCAACTGCAGGGATAAAAATAATTGCCCATTAAGTGGTGAGTGTCATGCGAAGGGAATCGTTTATTCCACAGAAGTCAATGGCAGTAACACTTTCAAGAGGATATACATTGATTGTACTAAAGGTCCTTTTAAAAAGAGGTTTTATAATTATGTTACTTTAGGTGGGAAAGCCACAAAAGTGACACCAAACTAACAGATTGTATTTGGGGGTTTAGAGAGATATATGGCAGAAATCCATGTCTAAAGTGGAGTATAATAAGAAAGGTGTGACCAGGCAGAGTCCGTGGCAACTGTTGCCAACTGTGTCAAGAGATCAAGTTGACTATTGCTACATATCCCAATAGAGATGTGCATCTGAATGAGAGGAGTGAGATTTTGTCAAAGTGCATGCATTTAAGTAAATATCTTTTGGATATCTATGAACACAGATGAGTGCAAGGAATAAATTTTTTCCTTCCTTCCCTCCTCTTTTTCATCCTCCCCACTTTTTTCCTTTTCCCTCTCTCTTACACCTTTCATTTCAGTCTCTTTTCCTGGGGTCATATAAGTTGGTGGAATATGCTAGCTTGTTCATCCTTCTACTTACTAGAGGATACCTTGTGGTCAAAACCTGGATAGCAAGGTAGACTGTTTTTTAGTGTTTTTGTAAATATATATATATATATATATATATATATATATATATATATGAATATGAATAAAGATAAAAGACAAAAGGAAAACTTACCTTAGTTGATGTGTTTCATCCTCTGAGTGACTTTATCAAGGAAAATGCAAATGACTTGATAAAGTCCCTTAGAGGATGAAACATGTTGGCTAAGATATGGTTTCCCTTTGTCTATTCATATATATATATATGTATATATATATATTTGAAGAAATATAGTTTTAAGGTGTGCTATGTTTATGGGGTCAAAGTGCTCAATATCAGAGGTAGAGCGTATATATATATATATATATATATATATATAGGGAGGTGATGTAAAATTTCTGAAGTCCATCAGAGGATGAAATGTGTTGGCTAAAATAAGTTTTCCTTTGGTTTTTATTCATATTGCACTTTTACAGATATATTCTACCTGTACTTTATGCACACACACATACACACACACACACACACATACATATATATATGATTAATAAAAATAATAAAATTTATCACTTTCTTCTTAATTGATTTCACCCCATGCAAAGCAGGAAAGCCGCTAAGACCCATCTGGTTTCTGGGTGCAAAAGAATGAGGAACATTAATAAGTGGAAAGAGAAAAGAGGAATCAGGAGGACAGCAGATAACAATTGACAATGCATTTTTTTGCAGATTAAAGTTGGTTAGAAAGCATGAAGCCAGATGAGAGTTCCATAAGAAAAGAAACTATTAGCATAGAATTTACAGCTACATCTCAGCCTGCTCAACTGTAAATTGATGAGATCTTGATGCCAGTCTAGTACTGTGCTTAAATTCATAAAGTATAAGTATCATAGCAAGAGCTCATTTAAACAATTACCATGAAAATATTTATAAAAATAACTCAGAGAGGTAACTGCATGGTGGTGGGAAAATGACTGAAGCTGTGCTGCCAGATCAGGAACAATAATATTGCTGATTTTTTCTTTGGATTTTATCAAGGAGCTCAAGGTAAATTACTTATTAAGGGAATTGATGTTATAACCACATCCTCAACTCTAGATTTTCATTAGATTAACTTTTTGTAATTGTTCAGAAGGTTTTAGCAATTGACTGCCATTTATCTTGTTTTTTATTTTTCAACTTTTGTTTTTTATTTAAGTTTTCTCCAGTTCAAACTTTTTGAAAACTTAAAAAAAATTTTTTAGAAAAGAACTTAATTTTCAATCACACTTTCATAAATAGAAACTGTTGCTCAAATAAACTGAATACGTATTTCTTGAAAATGACCATTGACAGTTAAAAGGACATGAAACCTTACGTGTCATTTTGGCTGTTGTTTTCACAAGATACAGCCAACTTCACACAAATTATTTAACACCAGAAGGAAATTATGGAAGACCTTAACAGGCATTTCTTTCCTGTTTGACTGAATAAAACATGTTTAGGATTGCTTCTTAAATATATTATGCTTAACAGAGACAGGCATCCACACAAATAGAGAAAAATATATATATATATATATATATATATATATATATTTTATCTTCAACATCATCACTTGATAAGACACCGAGTGTTGAAACAAAATGGCTATTTTTGTAGTGATTTTATAACATACTTATGTTATAATTTTTTATAAATAATAATATATATATATATATATATATATATATATATATATATATATAAATATAAAAGTGAAAATTGAAGTCAACACTTAGAGGCCTATAAGTGTTGACTTCTATGTTCACTTATATATTAACACACGCTCTATCTCTGATATTGAGCACTTTATCCCATGAATATAGCACACCTTAAGACTATATTTCTTCATATATATATATATATATATATATATATATATATATATAAGATATCTGCTAATAAATTCAAAAGGTTTATGTTACTTCTGACATAGGGATATATGTTTGCAAAATATATATATATATATATATATATATATATATATATGTGTGTGTGTGTGTATGTGGGTGTATGTGTGTATTTGTGTATGTGTGTGTGTGTTATTGTTTTTGTTAAAATAGAAACAAAATGGTTTATAAAGCTCAATTGCTGTTTCCATTCTTGAAATAATCTCAGTTATTATTTTCAGCAAACAAATCACAAATTTTAGTGACATCCTTAAAAAAAGAATTTCTTATTGGTAACTTAATGCCGGACATAAAACTATTGATTTCATATTTTTAGGTAAGTTTTTTTCATATTTACCTCACTCTTTTTATTTATTGCTTTCTTTTCTTTGCTTTCTTTTGCTTGCTTTCTTTTTTGCTTTCTTTTTCCAAATTCCCTGTATTATGTATTATATCCACTTTACCTCTTCTTTTTCTTCTCTTTCTTTTCTTTTCTCTTGTGCTCTTTTTCTTTTCTTTTCTTTCTTTTGTTTTTTTTCTTTTTCTCTTTCTTTTACTTTCTTTCTGTTGTCTTCTTTCTTTTCTCAAGTTTTCTATTCTCTACATTAATTCCACTTTTTATCTATCTCTCTCTCTCTTTTATTCTTTTACTTTTCAACACTTTCTTTTCAACTTTTTGTTCTCTTTCTTTGTTTTTCTTTCTTTGCTTCTCTTTCTTTTGCACACTTTCCTTTTCTTTTTCATACTCTCTTCCTCTCTTTCATTTGCTCTCTTTCTTTTTCCAACTTTTTCTAGAGAATGTATTAATTCCAAGCTTCATTTACTTCCCTGTCTTTTCTTCTCTTTCTTTTGTACACATTCTTGTTCTCTTTCTTTTCTTCTCTTTCTTTTGTACTCATTCTTGTTTTCTTTCTTTTCTTCTCTTTTTTTCGGCATCTTTATCACTTTTGCTTTTTCCAACTTTTTCTATAGTGTGTATTAATTCCACTTTTCATTTACCTCTCTCTTTCATTTCTTTTTTTCTTTTTCTTTTCTCTTTCTTTCTTTCTTTATTTCTTTCTTTCTTTCTTTCTTTCTTTCTTTCTTTCTTTCTTCTCTTTCTTTTGCACTCTTTCTTTTTAGTTGCTATTATTGACTTATTTCTCTTTTAGTCTTTTTCTAGAGTTTGAATCTGGTTTTTGTAAAAAGTGATTTCTAGGATGAATTACAATCTTTCTTGTTAATATTGTAACATTTCAGCCATTGTTCTCCCCAGCCTTCTTCAGATTTTTGTTGATCTAAGTAACCTTTATGGAATTTCAAAATGAAATATTTACAGGAGTAGATTGTTCTCATTTTTCTCCCAATGTCTAGGGATATCTCATCTTGTACTTAGTACTCCTCAGTTATTGCTTCCTTTTTTTATACTCTGCCTAAGCCTACACTACCCAACCCAGGGATTGAACTCAGGACAACAACACTTCAATTCATTTGGCCAGTGGTTCTAAACCAGGGTTCATAGGGATGCCAAGTGCCCATGTAACATTTCTGGGGGTCCACACAAAAAATAGCAAATTGGGGATCATTGTAATATTTTAGTAGTCCATAGTGCAATTACACTTTTTAAAAATTTATTAATTACTCATGTATTTTAAAATGGTATAAGTTATTTTTATTAGTGTACTTAAATTTTTCATAGAATTTAGTTGCTAAATACAAGTGCATTTACAATAAATTAGTTATACTTTAAAATAAAGAATATACAATATATTTACTATTTCTATAATAAAATTTCTAAACTTATCTATTAGTAAAAAACAGAATAAGCTTTTTTTATTGAATAGTTATTGGGTCCACCAAACAAAATTAAGATTAAAAGTGGTCCATGGTTAAAAAAAGGTTGAGAACCACCATACTAGGCTATTGCCCTGAAAGTTACCTGGATTCGACAATCAGGTGAAGAAGTGTAAATATTGTGATAATAATAGTGAAGGTGAAGACAATCGTCTAAATGTTATCATTTAGAAATTGCTGCCGACAATGTTGGATTCTATGTTAAGACTGAATTCATAGGATTCAACCAGTAAGGCTCAATACGAATTGTCTCAAGTGGATCAATAAAATCTGTGGAATCTTTTACATATCCTGGAAGCAAGATAAATTCTACTGAAAAGGATGTGAAATTTTGAATAGATAAAGCCTGGGCTGCCTTGAATAAAATGGATGTAAACTGTAAATGTAATCTACCATACAACCTCAAACAGAGATTCTTTTGAGCCACTGTAAAGGAGATATTAATGTATGGTGCCACTGCTTTGATCTGGACATCTAGTCATGGTGCAAGGTGGATTGGTCACTCAGAAATCGCCTACTTTGTCCTGCCATTTTATAGCACAGAATGCCTCCCTAATGACCTTCCAAACTTGATACAGGACTGTGATGGCTGGCATGATAGGCTTATGAATGTCCAAGATAAGTCAACTGAAAAACATCCCAGAAAAATCAGAGAGAAATAATTTATAAAATGTACCAAAATTTACATCAAATTCTGATTTTAGGAAAATGCAATCTAGAATGGCATTTAAGATCCTTCAAACATGCCAACAACGTATTTTATTTCTGTCTCTCAATCTTAATTTTAAAATTTTTCACTGCTGTTTATTTATTCCTTCTTTTTCTCTTTTTCTCAGATTTCTTTTAATTTCTCCTTTATTTCCATGTTTTCTCAAAGGAATTTATTCTTTAACTTCCTTCTTTTGTCTATTCTTCATTCTCATAACCTTTTTTTTTTCTCTTTCTCAATCCTTCATAAATCTTTGCTGTTGAAAACATTCTTTCTTTCTTTCTTTGTAGAACTCTTCAGAAATGAAAAACAAATAAAACCCTAAGCCAATTTAGAGGACAGAAACTCTTTAATTATAAGAACCTGCTATCTCCTAAAGACAATATTTTCATAAACCCATAGAAAGTGACAGACCAACAGATGGAGAGTTTTCTAGTTAAGAATACCTACATGCTATTCTTTTACAGTTAAACATTCTGCTGCTTTGCCTCCAGTTAAGCCTGCATTTTGTTTATTTGTATTTATCTGCCCAAGTCAAGGTGTCCTGTTCACAGCTTTCTATTTGTATATCAGATTAATCAGAGAATTTCTCTTGTCACACCCTGTGGAGACTTCAAGGTGGGCCACAAGATAGAAGATCTAACTACAAGCACATCATCTTTTCAATGTAGAATTGTTATGGGTGGACAAATATGTATGTGTTCAAATGTGACATATATATATATATATATATATATATATATATATATATATATATATATATATATATATTTATATATATATATATTTGGTTCGATTGATATGAGTTTGGCTCTATCTCTGATATTGAGTGCTTTCTAATAAGTACCTTGCATATAATATATAAATAATTATATATATATATATATATATATATATATATATATATATATAAATATATATTTACATTTATATCTATATACACACACTTTTCATATATATTATATATATATATATATATATATATATATATATATATATATATATATATTATTTTTATAATATTTTACCTACATTGTATTGAGTGTAATGCTATGAACTGTGGATTTTTACTCTATCTGTTCTTTCTCTCATTTGAATATATATATATATATATATATATATATATATATATATATTGATAACATTAGTGTTCAATATATATATATATATATATATATATATATATATATATATATTTTCAAGAGGATAGAATCCAGGTAGAGATCAATGTACAAGACAGAAGAGCAAGAATATAATATAAAAGGCTCAAACTCTAATATTCTATGGTTATAATTTATTACATTGGAATTGTAATCATGATCCAATTCATAAGACCTACAAATTCAAAAACTCAATATATATATATATATATATATAAATGTAAAAGTGAACATTGATGTCAACACTTAGAGATGACAGGTGGTTTCATTCTAGACCTGACGATTGCATCTAGCAGGAGAACAGCCTGTCACCTCTAAGTGTTGACTTCTATGTTTTATTTTACATTTACACACACTCTATCTCTGACATTGAGCACTTTATCCCATAAATATAGCACACCTTAAGATTATATTTCTTCATATATATATATATATATATATATATATATATATATATATATATATATATATATATTTAGTTTTTAATTTAAGTTAAATCTCTCATGGAAGCCATAAGAGTGGGAGTGAAACCGGTTGCTTGTTTTTAATATGTCCAGCAATATTAAGCTTCACACTTTTATTTCTGTGATATATATATATATATATATATATATATATATATATATATATATATATATATATATATATATATATATATATATATATATATATATATATATATATATATATATATATATATATATAATATAAACGACTCAAACACTAATATTCCTTGGTTATAATTTATTCCATTGGAATTTTAATCATGATCAATTTCATCAGACCTACAAATTCAAAAACTGAATATATATATATATATATATATATATATATATATATATATATATATATATATTCAAAAATTGAATTTGTAGGTCTGGTGAATTGATCATGATTATGATTCCAGTGTTATAAATTATAACCATGGAATATTAGTGTTTGTTTTTATATTATATATATGTGTGTGTGTGTGTGTGTGTTTGTGTGTGTGTGTGTGTGTATTTAGTGAGTATATCTTCATTCATACATGTTTCTTTGAATAATATAGACATATTGTGTCTACTTATTATACTGATTCTTTTCTGTTGTCTAATCAGTTTCTTGATGTTAAGATGAAATTCGTCACGAGAGGAACTGTAGTTTTTGTTAACCAATCTAAATTTGATCTTCAGGGGTAAATTACAAAGGCCAAACCAACACTCGACAAAATATATTATGAATATAGCAACAACATATTAAAGTGCATATAACATTTAATCCCATTTTACATTTCTACAAATTTCTGGTCAGCTCCCTTAAATTCCATAGCTATATATTTAAAATTTGAAAATAATTAGAGATTGCAGTCATGTGTCTTTTTAAAAAACCGAATGCAACAGAATGCAGATTTTATTGCAGTTACAATCCCTGAAGATGATCTTGGAAAAGATCAAAAGTACTGGGGTTAACAAAAACTATGGCACCTTTCATCTTAACTTCAAGAAACATATTAGAGAACTGGAAAGGGTCAGTATAAAGATATGTCTATATTATTCAATGAAATATATATATATATATATATATATATATATATATATATATTTCCAGTTCTCTATATATATGTTTCTTGAAGTTGACATGAAAGGTGCCATAGTTTTTGTTAACCCCAAGCTCAGCAGTAGAATCTCTGACTGATGGATATCTAGTTGCACTGAGGAGCTGTGATACAGCGAAACAGTACTGTCTGCAAATGACATATATATATATATATATATATATATATATATATATATATATATATATATATATATATATATCAGGACCTGGGTAATCCTGTCCCTCCACAACTTTTACTCTTTTACCATCCCTTTTGGTCTTAATAAGTAGTTTTTCCCCCCTTCTACTGTGGATTTACTATGTCTTGGGAGTGTTAAATTCTCCAAACCCTCCTTATTTATCATGTCCGAGAAATTGCTAGTCTCTTTCTGATTGTGATTTCTATTTCCGTTAAAATTTCCTCATTCCTCACATGTTTTGATCCTGGTATTTTTTATGTTTATTCATAGAACTGCACTTCTGTTGCTACAAATATCTCCTTCATTTGTAACAAGATTGTTCAACATTCACTGCAGTATAATAAATTAGATATATAGCAGTCCAGCTGTCTTTTCTTAGTTTCTAATAACATTTTCCCATCTCTTAATATTTTTTAGTTTTTGTGATTCTCATGCATCTTTAGATGCCAGTTTTACTTTGCTTTGTCCGCTGCAAAACAATCCAGATCTGCTTGATTTTAACAATTCTAATATACAATTCTTCTATTGATATCCATGCATTCTGTCTTCTTATAGTTTGTCCTTTCTTCTGGCCTTTCTTTATTGCATTTTTAAAGAGTTCTTTCAGTTCCTTTTCTGAGTGACAATGTATTAGTAAATATATGTGCATTTATCAACATGTATACACAACTCCC